CTTTATGAGACGGATGAAGAGAAGAAAGTCGCTGAGCAAACTTATGCTGAGGCAAAGGTAAAGTGAACTGATACCTAGGTAGACTCCGCAACATTTCTTTAAAATGACTTCAAATTGTACCATTGGCAGTAACCGATAGCGTTAAATGTGCAGTAACTGCAGGTCTAGTTTTGAAGAATAGAGTTCAAGTTCTATCTAACTCCCTTAGATTGGAGTTGTGCGCCCAGGTTTAGACGCTCTCTCTCTCATCTGCTCTCATATGTGGGATTTCCTTATTTTTCAATAGTGGGGACGTTTGTGCTAGCGTGATCACCTGCGATGATGAAGAGAACGTTTTTTATGTTTAAGCTCTATTAGTAAAATTGACATCTGGCAATGCTTTTTCATCCGTGTAATTGATATCATCCTGAAAGACTAATAGCCAAATAATTGAAGTCTTCTAGAACCAGATTTGATACATTCGAATTCGACCATACTTTCATTCTGAACCGTACAAACTCAATTGGGTTGTGCTCTTTATACAATCAAAAATTCGCGATTGAAAGATTAGCGACAGAATCGGGATGAGACATCTCAAATGGTATCATTAGACCACTGCATGAAGGGTTCATCGTTTTAGAGAGTTGACCTTTGTGTAGTTTGGTAATCCATACACACCTAAAAATTCCCAGGTGATAAGCTGGTAGACTATGATTACGCATCACGTTCGTTACATCTTATCAGGTACTGTTTTTGCCGGCTGGAAGAGAGCGATTTAGGGGGCAGTGGTAGAATCCTACGAAATTTGGAAATTGAGGGTGATAATTCATATCGGCTATAGTATAGTCGCTATTCAGGGGATTTTTATAAATCTAGTAAGCCTTTGGAAATGTCATCTGATTTTCAATCAAAAACAATCACATGTATCCACCTCTTAGTACATTTTTGATTTGAAAGTTTTTCTCCAAGAGTAACATTAATTTCTCTTCTCCACACCATCCAGCTCTTCTTTTTACCTATACTTTATCATTAGAGTTGTTGCTTGCAGTATTCGGTAACACTGTTCTTTATTTCCTCAAGCTTTCATCACATTCAAAACCGCAATCTGAAGTATCCCAGTTGTCGGCATAACATATGCGAAGTCCAGTGGCGACTTATGATTCAAGTTTGTTTGCTTTTAAAGAAAGCAGCTGAGCAAAGGGATCTTGCAGAATAATTAAATATTATTGTCTTTGCAGTGATTTTTCTCTGAAATCCTAGGATTTTTTGAATTGTATACTCTACCATCCTCTTCAAAAAAAAAATCCCCTTGGAGCATAGGTCGGCATGAACAGGGGAAAAGAACAAAAGGCATGGTACTTCCTTGTACGGTCTTGATTTTTAGTTTAATTGTTCATTTGAATATTTCGAAGGAAGCTCTTTCGAGTTCTAAAAAAGGGATTTTAGCATTTTATGCCTTTGGTTTCAGAAGAAATATGGCAATATCGAGACTTACGTTGTTAAGCTGGACAAATTCTATCAAGCCGAAGATTATCATCAAAAGTATTGGCTGCGAAATAGCCGCTTTTTTGATGACGTAGGTCAAAGGTTTTTTTCGCGTCTGCGAACAGATACAATCTATTGAATTTAGTTAAAACTGAGCGATGACCAGGTGGCAGATTCGACTTTGGCAGCAAAGGTAATATTGTTTGTTAATCTTTTATAGATCTTTCCATATTTCAAATTTTCCTTTTAATCTTCAGATGAACGCGTACTGCGCCGGCTATACTGATTTTTCGGAACTGGAAGAGCTGAAGAAACAGCATGGATTGTCTGAGAGTTTAGTGGAGACGGTGAAGAAGTTCGCTTCTTCAGGAGGTGACCCAAGAGCTTGCCATTAACAACCTTCTATTCATTGAAATAAGTATATCTACCTCAACACCACAGTGAAGTATGAAACGACTAGAATGTTTTATTTTTGTATTATAACTTTATAATATCCAGTGTACGTAATTATGTACAAAACACAGTAAGTGAAAATGCAATAAAATGTAACAATTGTTGTTCTGTACACAGGCAGATGGAGATTTAAAACGCCAAAAATTGCAGTCAAGACAGGTTTCGGACATAGGGATGGTAGAGTCTGTCTGGAATGCTATGGCTGCGCAGGGATCGTGAATTCATACAGCACTTTCGATTTGGTATTTGCTCTCAAGTCGATTGCGAATATTCGTACAAATCATATTCAGCGGATTTGCTGGTGAACTCTCCATTTGCAAAACGTTGGTGAGAATGGCGTATGCTGAAATATAGAGTAAGTTAGGCTGGTTGTTGCTTAAAACTTTGGAAACAGTTTACATACAAAGAAGACGTGAAGAAAAATATGATGTAGTGCTGTGAACTAAAGCGTTGTCTTTAAATGAATAACTAATTTACGTATTAGTACTATAATTAAATAAAACCCTTATTCGTGCTAGGAATTTTTGAAAATTTCAATTTTTCTGTATTCTGGTTTGTGGGCTTTTTCGGATCCCAGTTTACACCTAGATATTTTTGTATTATAAAAAAGTAACAGAAAATACTGAACAATTATCGGCACTCAGCTTAGGCTTAGACCT